TAATTTTGCCTTTTTACTTTTTGATCAGTACAAAGTGTTAATAATTTTATCTGATTCATTATTCACCCTTTGCCATCATCAAATATATGCATGAAAAATACAGATTTAGAGGAGTCCAAGAATGCTAAACTGCGAGTCAGGAAACAAACTCACTTTTTAGAACTGAAGAGAGAGCTCTGGTGAGTAAAGAGTTGAGCTGCCAGCCCAAAGGCAGGTGGTTTGAGTCCCCCAGCTGCTCCGTGGGAGAATGATGTGGTGGTCTCCATCTGTCTGTTTCTGTGAAGATTACAGCCTTAGAAACGTAATGAGATGATTCTCCCCTGTCCTTTAGGTAGCCTCTGAGTTGAAATCTATTCTATGGCATCAGGTTTGGTTTTCTGATTTTTCTTTTTAAGCAAGTTACAAGGAGACTTGTGATTAAATAATGACGCTTTGACTGGTAAGGTCAGACATTTCAACTCACCAAGAGCTTTTTAAAGAAAAGACTTGGTGGTGATCTGCCCCCATAAAGAAAACTCATTGCTGCTGTTATAATCAGTCCTTATAGGATCAGTGTATCAGAACCAAACAATTGGCATACAACATCAAGAAGCCTGAGCTACTGTGGACCTACTACTAAACAGGAGTTGAACTAAATGATCCTTAAAAGTTTGGCATTTATTTCCCCTGAATCTGGTTAATGCTAATCTGTTAATACTAATTTGAAACTGGTTAATGCTAATCTGGTGACCATCTGGTATGTGCTTCAGCCTTGCTTTTCGTCTCTTGTTGCTTCTTGTTCTTTGCTGTAGTTAAAAATAAACCACCATTCCTGGATCTGCATTGTTTCATCTTTGCGGCAGGTTTTATTTTGTTCCAGTATTCTATCTGGTATTTTTCTTGTGTATTTCTTTCTGCTGATTAAGCTAGAATAGCTGCTGTTTGGCTGCTCAGCTTCTAGTGACCTCAATGGGGAGAAAATCGCCTGCAGTAAATGTGAATTATTTGCCCTCTTGGCAGAGAATTTTTTTCAAAGAAAAGAACATCAACTGCTACCAGTAATCTGTTCGGTTGTACGAAAAAGAGAAGGGGCCTGTAATGTTTAACAAAATCAGACAGGCCAAATAAGCTGTCAACTTCTCATTTACCTAAGAGAATTGGTATTTCCTTGTTTTGCAATGACCATTCTCCAAAAAGTCGAGAAAGAAGATCATAAAAGGGAAGACAGGAAGTGTGGCGAGAACTCATTAAATATCTCTCTTGCATGTAAATGGAAATGTTAAGATGATTCAAAATACATTGAAGACTTGAACTGATTTTAACACTTTTGGCCTAGGAGTTGTGTTGCCAACCAGAAGATAAGCAGTTCAAATCTACCAGCTGCTTCAAGGGAGGGAAAAACCTTATGAGACAGTTCTGCTCTGGCCTATAGATACACAATGAGTTGAAATTGATTCAGTGATGACACGTTACTGGTTTTTACTTTTAAGTAAGTCACAAGCAGCAGTCTCTTTCTGTGCAAATTACAGCCCCTGAAAACCCTCTGCAGGGTCAGTCAGCTGTGGGTTGTTTCCAATTGGACTGCATGTAAAACTAAAGATACTTGAAAGTTAAAAGAATGATCAGAAACTCTCAAACTTCTGGTTGCTATTGAGTTAATTAGTTTTATAACTTCCAACTTTGTAAAGCAAGTTAAACTTTCTAAGACAAGTTAAACTTTTCGAATGTGCAAGACAGAAAGAGAACCAAAGTGATATGACAGTAAACATCAGGCAGATGAAAGTTTTAATCATATCAGCAAGACGTGGTTTGAGACTTAAATGTTTATAAAATCTTAAATGTCCAAAAATCTACTGGTTGCTATTAAGACTGTAGCTTTGTGAGTTTGGTGAGAAATCCCCCAGTTGCCGCACTTGTGGAGAACCCTCATGGTGCTATGTTGGAGTAGAACTCTACATAGGGTTTTGAAATCTCAGGGTATTTTAAAAATTGATTGCCAGGCCCTTCTTTCAAGGCATCTCTGGGTGGTATCAAACCACCAACTTCCAGTTAGCAGCCGAAAGCTTAATTGGTAGCACCAGCCAAAGACTCCTGTTGGCAGACAGTGCTACAAATAAAATCTCAGAACTAGAAGAGGTTTCTTTCAGGCTATGTTATCAGTAGGGCCACCCATTTCCTTCTAAGTGACTCTTTCTCCCTGAATTTGAAGTAAAGGTAATGTAGAAGAATACTCCACCTCTGCTTTGATAAAGTGAGACTGCATCTCTACTCTGTGGTAACTCAGATTCACCAGTGCCATATAATAGAGAAAAGATGGAATTCTCCGTAAGAAAGATGGTGTAGGAGATTACGTGAGTAGTGTCAGAAGGTTTGAATTTATTGAAAATTGAGGAATCTGTGTTTTGATAGTCTCCCCCGGGAAAGAAAAGCTTTCCGATTCTGAACAAAGCCGTCAAGTTTTTAGGGTTTTTTTCTTTATAAGTCTTCATTTTGTTTGAGTGTTTTAAAGTGTATAAAGAAGAAACTTTTAAGATGCTCTGCCGGGGAAGGAGGGGCAATCTCCTCCTGTACCAGTCAGATCTGATTTGATACACGCACACAAAAATAATAAAATAAAATTAAAAAAAGAAGAAACTTTTGAAGCTAATTTCAAATTTGTGCTTCCCCAAACAATAGACAGGATCATGTCTGCATTTTATGATGCCTGCTCCTATTTTTTTCAGGGTGAATACCCCCAGCTCAAACCTCAATTTTATGCTTTACCATGTCTGTTTCACTGTTTCAAATGAGACCAAAATCGAAACTTCTCTTTTCTCAAGCATACATTTTAATCTCTCATCTCTATAAACTTGGAATTTTTATTTAATAGTTGGAATATTGTTTTATAATTTAGAGGTATAATCTCATCTGCTCCCCTTCCCTCATCCCAGACTTTGAAACTGAAAAGTAAAATTTTATTTATTTAAGGTAAGTTTTTGCACAGCTTTTTTTTGGGGGGGAAGTCTCTTGGATAATATTAATTACATGTGGGTTACTTGTTTCCAAAATGAGTGTGATAGTAACATTAATAATAGCCACATGTGGAAAAAACAGTACAATGTACTTTAAAGATAAGTATTATAACCAGTAAACAGATCACTCATGTAATTTTTTTTTTTATTAATTTCACTCTGTATAACATGGATGGACCTGGCACAGGGCTAAGGGAGATAAGTCAAGCATATTTAAGTACAAATATTGTATGACCCGTGTTTTCTAAGAAGGCAAGGCTTGATAGTTGCTGTCAGGTTGGTTCCGATGTGTAAGCAGCAGATCTAAAGCCTCCTGGTCACGCACTGCCGTTGTCACAGTTGTTGTGTCAGAGCCCCTTGTTGCAGCCACCATGTCGGTCCACCTCATGTAGAGTGGTCCTCTTTTTGACTGTTCTGCTACTTTACCACACGTGATTTTCTTCCCCAGAGAGTGACCACTCCTGATAACATGTCCAAAAGAAGCGAAACAGAGTCACTAGCTTGACTTGGGAAGGGCATTCTGACCGTACTTCTTTTAAGACACATTTGTTCATTCTGGCAGTTAGGGTATGTTCATTCATTGGTCTTTGCCATCAGTGTAAATCAGAGACATCAGTTCTTCTTTAGTCTTCTTAACAGAACAAGACCAGATTTATAGAGACCAGTATTCATTGATGCGAATCCATGTGAGGAGACGGGGAGGGGAAAGTCTGCTTTAGATAATAGAGACCTGTTATTTTTGTTTGATGATGGGAAAAGGTGCACTGAATTTGGTTATAATGAGCATAGCACAATCAAAGTAAGAAGAAGTGTTTGTGCACATATGAATGAGTAGAGTGGTGTACGGGGTAAATATAAATGCCTGCATAAATGAGAAGCTAGAAGTATCTATAGGCATATGTAAATAGCAGATTTGCAGGCGCAGACACATAAATTTGTTGAAGACACCAATAAAGATACTCTATAGACATAGTGAGACACCTTCCAATATTGTTTAGCTGTGTTTGGAATATAAGGACTTTAGGCTAATTGGATAACTCAGTCAATTGGCATAACATAGTTCACAAAAATCATGTCTTACATGTTAGTAAAATAAGTAGCATCTCGGATCTTAAAAGCTTGTGAGTAGCCATTTAAGACACAGTTGTGGTTATCTGCTTGCCAGGAGCAAACAATAGGAATGGAACCAAAAGCTGAGAAAAGAATAAGCCTACATGAGCCACAAACTCATCTTCCCTGAGACCAGAAGAGCCAGATAGTGTCTGGCAGCCACCACTGACTGTTCTGACCAGGATCACAGCACATGATCCTGAGTAGGGGAGGAAGAAAACGCAGAGCAGAGCACAAATTCTTTTTTTTTTTTTAATAAAAAGTGTGTGTGTGCGGATGTATCCACGTATATAAAGAACAGAAGACAGACTTAAAAAGACTTATTACCCTGAGATACTCTTTAAAAGTAGAAAAAAATTAACAAAATGAAGAAAAATAAATAATTATACTGCTGTTTAAATGTGTTTAAAAAAAAAGTAGAACCAAGTGTATCCCCTGTAAACACTTTCTAGTGAGAAGACAGGGTAACTGACCCGTAAGTTCAGTACTCTACTTAAAAACCATCAGATGACTAAAAAGTCAGCAATTATTCAAAAGCAAAACTGCGAAGAAGATGAGGCAGGGAATCTAGAATGAATACTTGAGACAAACCAGAGCACAAAGTATATTGACACATTATAATAAATGTAATTAAAAATCATTGAACAGTTTGTGTGAGAATTGTCAAACGGAGGCCTGACTTGTTATGTAAACTTCTACAAAACCCAATAAAATTTCAGAAGAAGGTATTTTAGAATTTTCGTTTTACCTATGGCCTTTGAGGAGTTTTCAGATAGCTCCTGAATGCAGATCAAAACTTGTCACTATCACTGTTTTATGCATTTCATCACATGGTAAAGGAAAGGAAGTGAGGAAGGGTTCTTTCAGAATGGGAAGTCAGCTCTAAGCAGTTTTTGATATTTATAATAATTCAGCGGGTGGGAGTGGCAAGGATTCATTGACATCTTGATCTGAGTCAAGAGAGAGAGCGAGCTCCTGACACTGAATATCGTTAGAATCATCCTGGGTTTTCACAAAGTCTTCTGGTGGGGTGGGCACACTCAGGGAGTCAGGCGGAGGAGGAAATGACTGTGTGTTCTCAGGATTCTGATCTTCACAGGCTTGACTGAGACAGTCCAGAGGTGGGGGGAGGTCAGGAGAATCATTTGGAAGCGGAGGTACATTTGTTGTCAGAGTGTCGGATTGCTTACTCTCCTGTCCTTCCAGGTCAAGTAGGGGTGGTGGCGGAGGCACATCTGCATCATCTGAAGAAGAAACAGCCGTTCCAATTGTTGATCCACCTGCACTCTCCTCCGATGTACCATTAACTTGATCTTTTATTTTCTCTGCTTTGAGGTGGTTGGCATCATCAATATTTTCACTGGATTCAAATAACTTAATTTCTAAGTCATCTGCCAACAGTGTGCTTTTGTTTGTTTTCCAGGTCATAAGTGAAAGAATTGATGTACGTTTCCCAGGTACTTCATTTTCTCGAATGTTATCCATACATAAGTCAGGGGTTTGTCCATCAGCAAATGGAGACCTCCCAGCCCAATTTTGATCATTTGAAACGGGTTTTCTCAAGCATTTCCATAGTAGAATCATGATTATAGCCAGCAACATTAAAGTCAGAATTACACCAACTAATATTGCAGCTGTTGAGTTAGCTTTGGTTTTTTGGGTACTGGTAGTTTCTAGGTTGAACCCTGGTGTGATCACCAGTGAATTTCTTACATTTGAAGTTGGTTGTGTGGGTAGATTATAACCAGTTGGTTGAATTGATTTTTCAGAACTGGTACGAAGAGGCAGTGATGACTGTTGAGCTGAGGTGTAGACAGATGATGGTGTTGATTGTCTGGTAGGAGTATGGCCAGATGATGGTTGTCTAGTAGAGGTGAACTGAGGTAGTGCTGTTTGTCTGGAGAAGATTTTGGCCCTGGTTATTGGCTGGCTGGTGATTTTATAAGGAAGTGGTTGCCTGGCAGAAGTGTGTATTGCTGATTTTGCTGAAGAAACATAAGCATCCAATGTGGGTTGTCCAGAAGAAATGTTTACTTGTGCTGGTTGACTCAAAGGATTCCCTGTTGTATTTGGAGAACTAGCTGACACATTTGACACTGGAGATCCAAATAAAATAGACTGTGGCTGCTTCTCAGTTGTATATACCTCTCTTTCCATGAAAACTGTGTTGTTCATGTATCCACAGAAGAAAAATAAGATGAAATATTTGAGATCCATTTCAGGCTATTTCCTTTTTGACTGTTGTTTCATAATGAAAGAAAAAAAAAAAGAGAAAGAGACAGTTAAATATCATGTGATATCTAAAGTTATATTTGATTTTTCATTATTATGTCTGGTATAAAATAGGTATTTGATAAATGTCTATTACTACTAAAGTTGGAACTTACCTACTTACACTAGTGTATCTTGAATATATTCTTAACTGGTTGTACATTTTTCTCTCTCTCTCTTAATTCTTTCTTGAAATAAATACTTGGCCCTGTTGCACCTCAAGCCTCATTTGTAGTCCTTCATTTCACACTTAACACTTCTCAAAAACGTGGGCACTATGTACTGGTTTTGTATGCACTACTCCTTTCTCTCTCATATTCTCTCTCTTCTTGGCTACTAGTAATAGATGTTGATTCTGCTGTCTCCAAGGACAACAATGTCCATCTATTACTCAATCCAGTAGTTTTATCCCTTTTTTTAATCTATTTTGACCACACCTGACATTATTAACTATTTCTTCATTACTATTTCAGTAGTCCTTTATGGTGCAGACTTCCATTCATCTTAGAGTCGCTTGCTATGAGTTGTACTTGACTGGCTGTTGTTCAGATCTAAACCCTGTCGTATCCTGTGCCAACCTCACAGTAATCTCTGGCACACTCAAACCCATCACTGTATGTATTGTCAGTTCAGCTGGTTGAGGGTCTTCCTTTTTTTACCGCTCCCCTCCTTTCCAAGCATGATGCCCTTCCTAGCAACAAGCCCAGATTATTTAAGACATAGCTTTGCCATGCTTGCCTCCAAGGAACAATCTGATTGCATCTTCGCTAAGAGAAGTCTCATAGTGTTAGATCCTTGTGAATGGTAGTTGAGGCAGGATTAGAAACTACTGTTAGTCTTTGATGTGGTAATCAGTCAGAGATTGGATGCCCTATTGCAAAGTACAGTAAAAGAAGAGGACTCTCCCTCCTCTAGTTCTGCAAGTAAGTTTATTTGGATATTTTTCATTGTTAACTCCTGTAGCATTTGGTACACTGTGGTCATACATAACTATTTTAGTAGAAGGAAAGACGTGTGATCTTTTATTCCTTATACTATCTCCCCCTTTCTGTTTTCTCTCTAATTTTCCAAACCTAAACTTGGAAGTTATTGTCCTTTATACTTTCCTATAAACCATTAGTGAATTAGTCATAAATGAATTTATGAATTCCCCTGTTTGAGAGTTAGTTCCCCTTTGGCCCTCAAGATAAAATCATAAACTCTTTTATTTTCTGAATTTCTTCCATCTAGTTTAAGTTTACCAGTTGAGATTGGATCTGCTATGATTGAAACGTCTTATTTAGCCAAATTTCACTCACCCTCACCATGTTTATTTTCTGAAATACTTGTAATTATACCAGCTTTCATCTACCCAGTGCACATTCTTTTTTCCAGACCTAGATTTGCCTTCTAGCTGCATGTTTTATTATTTTGAACCTCGTTGTAAATTCCCCTCCTAAACCAAGTTCTCGGTGACTAACCATGCTTTCTTAATCTCTGATCTTAGACACTTTACCCTTCCCTGATGGCCAGGTTGTACTGCTGACTCCATGCCTCTGAGAGTTAGGCTCCATCAGCAGGTTGGAGGCCATAATGATGGCAGTTTGCTTTCAGGCGAGTTACAGCCTGGGAAGCCGAGTGGAGGGTCAGCTGGGAATCATTTTGCCTCTATGACCATGAATGTGAGGGTTTGTGTTTTATTCTTTTAAATAGTTTAGGTTTTATTACTTTTCATTTTCTTAATTTCACCTCCTCAGTGAGATTTTTAAGAACTGAAAAAAGTAGAAAAAACAAAAGGAAGAAAAAAGTTATCTAGAGCATTCTTTCTGCTCAGCTATCCCATTTTTTTTAATTGTTGTTTTTCATAGGAAATTAACTTTATATCCTTATTTTGTAAACACAGATGAGCTTTCACATTCATTTAACTGTGCCTATTATGAGATGCAATTAAGTGAAATAAACACATACGTGGATCTCTAAGGGTGGTTGGTCAGGTTGGACTATTCCATTTTGAAACTATGTTTCATTGGAAAACCTTTAATATCTGAGAGGAAGATGGAGGTATCCTTCTTTTACTGATAAGAAAACAAACAAGTTGAGTAATTTACCTGAGATTATATATCCCTACTAATGAGTAGTTAGGAATATTTTACCCAGAAACTTCTGTTTCTGAAGCACCAGCTCTTTCCCTAACCCTCATACTGCCTCATGTTTTTATATGTTTACTCCTCTGTAGCAGAGTACATATACATACACATACACATATACATACACTGCTTGGTAATTACTTAACCTGTATTGAACTTTTTGATTCATTTTCAATGAGGTTTTTTTTACTATTAACATTTCTATCAGAATATAAACAGTCAAATGTAAGTTGATAAATTCTGGTTTTATCCAGTTTGCACAAGTTTTACTAGAGAAGACAGTTGAAACATTTTGCATGAATTGGCGGTTTGGATTCTTTCTAGATGGCCGCTATCCATGATTCTTACAGATTACAAAAGGAGGTGGAGAGCATCACTAGAGGACATTCTTTACCGTTTCATTTTCATTTTAAAAAGGCTCCCTAAAACAACAGAAAATATAGACCATAAATTATCTTCCATGAAAAATGCTTCCTCTTAATGCTACTTTACTTAAAATAGAGAAACCATACTGTTCCTCTTGTAAGTTAGCTGGAAAAAAAAGTATTAAAAAGGCAGAACCTGAGTGGAAACATAATTATAAGCCTACTTTACGTTTATAAGATTAATTTTGATAGATTCACATCCTCTATTTTCAGTAGTAAATTGGCATGGTATTCAGGGGATGGGATTTTACTTTCTTGTTTAAGGGTTACCCAAGCACATTGCGGGTGAGTCAATTCTGAGTCTTGACTCCCCGTCAGAACACAGTGGGACTGCCCTATAGTTTCCAAGGCTTTAGATCTTTATAGACACAAACAGCCTTGTCATTATTTGGCATAGCAGGTTGTGGGCTTAAACCACTGACCTTAAGGTTAGCAGCCAAGTGTTTTAATCTCAACATTACTAGGCTAGCTTTTAAGGGCTATAGTGGTATTAGAACTAATTCATCACATTTTTATTTATCCTGCCTGCCTCTTTCTTCAGTGCTTTAGTTGTGTGCTTTCCTAGGATCTACTACTTCAGAATTTATGAGTCTAAAAAGGAGGAGTATGATTTTTCAAAAGAATAAAAATGAAAGGGTTTACTAGTGAGGAAACGAATCTTTCCCTGAAGTACTGGAAGCAGTGTTGTTACTAAGGTGTAAAGTTATACATGTTTTACAACATGCCTCTGGAACTCTGTGAACTTTGGTAAATGATGATTGTTATAGAAAGGCTTCAGGCTTTTTGTTCATAGGGTCGCTATGAGTTGTGCTCAACTCAACGGCAGTCAACAGCAAATAGTAATATATGTGTCATATTGTTTCTACAGGAAAATAAGGTAGAAACAAAGAACAATATGGAACAAAGGAGTTAAAAAAAAAAACCCCAACAAACCAAACTTAAATGAGAGAGGAATGCGTAAGAAGTACAAGATACTACAAAAGTACATGCTGAAACAAAACCAGAATAAATGCTGAATATACAGGGACAAGGCAAATCAAATGAATAAGTACTGAAAAGAGACATTTATAAAAAGAGGGACGTGATCACATCGGTAGAAGCTGGAGGGTGAAAGAAGTAATGGCATGTCACTGGCCTGAATTTGTGGGTACAGAGAGCCACTGAGGAGGAACTGTCTAAACAGATAGCTTGGATGGATGACCCCATCCTCACGAACTCAGTTTTTCATTTCAGGCTCTCTTAACTGCTTTTAACATCTTTGAGAATCTCTCTGTTTTCCTGGTATCAAATAGAATTGTATCTGCTAATTATTCCAAAGAATCTGTATAGATCTATGTGTAGTTTTTCTAGAAATACCTATTTACTGCTCAGACAGATCCCCAATTTATTGAACTTCAGATGACAGTGTTTTACTCGTTGTCATAGACTGGCATTCTGATTTTTGTTCCTTTACTTTGCTGGATATTTTCTGAAAAAGAGGCTATTTTAAAAACATTTAAGTGTAGAAAGAGTCCTAGCATTGTACATGTTCTCATAAACATAATGCTTAAGTAATAAAGAATCCAGCTGTTAAAATTGAAAGTAAATTGCATATGACAAGAAATATGTTATTGTCTTTTAAAGGATAGTAAGGAGATTTGGAATTTATGTCCTAGACTGAGAGGCAAGAATAGATGACAGAACAAAAAAGTACCTGTATTAAGTTACTTTAATAGAACAAAAGTAAGTCATAATACAGATACCATAATAGGAAGAAAACAATTTTGTATCTTGAAGAAGAGCTCAAAGGAAAATTGACCTGGGTCTATAATAGAGAGTATTTGATATCCATCTTTTATCAGTAATAATAGCTACCATTTGTAAAGTGCATGCCTAGGGACTATCCAGTTTGGTGTTTTGATGACTTAGTCTCTAGGGAGCTCACTGCTAACCAAGAGGTCTCATCTCTGATGAGTCGAATCCATCAGTCACTCTTTTTGTCTCTTACACTTTATAGCCTCACAAACCCAATGGCAGGTCAGCTCTGAGTTGGTTGCAAACACAGTGGTGAATTTTAGTTACTTTTTAGTTTGATTGTATTTTAATGAACTGAGATACTGAATCTAAGGGTAACTTGCCCAAATGTCACAGCTTTTAAGTGGCGCTAGTAGAGAAACCATGCCAATCCTGTATCAAAGCCCACTCCTTCCATTATACGTCACTATTTATATATGCTCTATGACCTTTTATAGTAAAATTATGAATCAGGAATGCTTTATGAATGAAGGAGATAGATACATAAGTAATTTTTGTAACTCAAGAGGTAGTCAAGGGAGGGAAAAGAAATACAGAAAAACCCAGTTTAGTCACATGATTCTATGAGGAAAATTAAAGAAAAAGGAAAAAAATCTCTTTG